AAATATATATATTTGAAAAACTGTAAAATTGAAATTATGTGTTAAAATATACAATTTATTGGAATCAAGCTGGAAAAATCAATATGAAGGTAAATTAAATTATAGAACTTGAAGTAAAGTTCTTTTTTTATTTATTTGGTGCATTTTAAACGTTTATTTATTTAGTGGTTCATTTATAAGTTTCTGCTTTTATTTCTAATTATGTCAGTTATGGTCCTCCGTACAGCAGAACTTACTCAGTGACTGAATCAGGTGTGTTGGAGCAGGGAAAATGTAAAACATGTAGGACCACAGCTCTGGAGGACCAGGATTGCCCACCCCTGGCTTAAATGAATGACGTGTCGGGGGGGCGGGGCTTGTGGTTTTCTGGGTGACAGAATTAGTTTGAAGAACTGATTCTGGACCAAGGTCCAGGTCTGATTAAGTCTTGTTTTCTTTAATTTAAAGGTTTGAGTTGAACTTAAAGGATTTAGTGTAAAAGTCTCTGAAGGCCCATTTTGTTCTGAAGCTGCAGAATCCAAACAGAAGCTCCTCTGCATCAAACATGGCCGCTCCCTGCTCGTCCTCTAAATGACAGACGTCCATTTTGGGGGACCCCCCCCCCCCCCCCAAAAAAAAAAAGCCCCTTTTTTGGGGGCCCCCCCCCCCCCCCCCCCGTGATGAACAGCCTCTCTGTGTACAGTACTGATCAGCTGAGTGTCAACTCATCTGTCGGCCAGTGGACGGTCGTCTTCCTGCTGTACAAAGCTTCTGAACACGCAGGTGATGGAATCCAACACACACACCTGAACACAACAAAAATAAAAAAATAAAAATCACTGGTGCTGTTGTGAAACATGACCAACATAAAAGAATAAAAGGTTGATCTCATCAGGTTTGGATCATTTGTTTCATTTTTCTGCTTCAACGAACCGAAACATCCAGAGTCCTGCAGGCTGACAAGAGTCCAGAACCATCTTAATCAAACCTTCTAGTGTTGTCATGACAACCCAAGGCTGTTTGAGCGACAGACCATAATAAGTCTGTAAGCATCAGATCAGAGCCGATCGGCTGCAGCTCAAAGAGGAACGTAAAAACAGAGAGGGTTTAAATAATCTTGATGCTGCTGCCAGCAGCTCGTCACGACTCCAGCTGGTACCGAGCTGCGGCCCGCTTCATCCGGCCCACAGTGATGCAACGACCCGTCTGTCTGAGACAAACACCTGAAGCTTCACCTGTACGTCCAGGAGCTCTGACAGGAACCAGTTCAGTCTGTGAAATGGTTCCTCCCTTTCATCATAATAAACCTCAGACAAAACAAATCCTCTGAGTTTTATTAGAAACTAAAATATGGGGTGCCGTTTGTAAAGTTACAAAGTCAAAAATTACCACCAATATTTTTGTTTTATTTAGCCTTTTATCAGAAAAAAGAACAGATTTGTTTTTCAAAGCCAGTTTTTCACCATGTGATTCATATATTTCTAAATCTCATAGTTTATAAACTAAATATTTAACGTGCAAATTAAATATTTAGTTAACAAGCTAAATATTTAACATGCAACCTAAATATTTAGGTTGCAACTCAAACATTTAGCTAGCTACCTAAATATTTAAGTTGAAACTTAAATATTTAGGTAGCTAGCTAAATGTTTAAGTTTCAAGCTAAATATTTAACTCAAAATTAAAAATTTA